GCCAGGTGTGTGCGAAAGACAAAGCAGGAGCAGTGGACATGACATTGGCCCCAGCTCCCCCCTTGTCGAGTTCCAGGCCACAGCGAACCAGCTCAGGCTGAGCTGGCTATGTACACACACACACACCACACACACACACATACACACACACCACACATACACACACATATACCACACAGACACACCATACACACACATACACACACACACACCACACACACACACACCACACACATATACACACCACACACCACACACACACACACCACACACCACACATACACACACACCACACACACACACCACACATACCACACACACACACATACACACACATACACACACACCACACATACACACACACATACCACACAGATACACCATACACACACATACACACACACACCACACACACCACACACACACCACACATACACACACACCACACACATATACACACCACACACCACACACACATACACACCACACACCACACACACCACACATACACACATACCACACACACACACATATACACACCACACACACACATACACACCACACACACATACACACCACACACACACACACACACACGCACCACACACACATACACACCACATACACACACACATGCACCACACACACACATGCACCACACACACACATACACACACACACACACACACACACACACACACACACACACACACACATACACACACACACAGAGGGCAGAGTGAGAAATCCATGGGGCTGGTTCACAGTGTTTGACACCCAATAAAAAAGGTCTGGGGCTGGAGAGACGGCTCAGCAGTTGGGAGCACTGGCTGCTCCTGCACAGGACATGAGTTGGTTCCCAGCAGCCACAGGGCAGCTCCAGTTCCAGGGAATCCAACACCTGCTTTTGACCTCTGCCAGCACCAGGCATGCATGTGGTACTCAGTCATATATACAGATGAAATATCCATACACATAACGAATAAATAAATAAAAATTAAAAATAAGTTAAAAACAAAACATCAGCTCATCTGTTAGAATAAATTTTGTTAAAAGAAAATTGTGAGCCAGGTGTGGTGGCATATGCCTATAATCTCTGCCTTGAGAGATAGAGGCAGAAGGATCAGGAGTTCAAGGCCAGCCTCAGCTACATAGAATATCTGAGGCCAGCCTGGGCTCCATGAGGCCTTGTTTTAAACAATAACAGTAACAAAGCAACAACTGAAAAATCTACACCAAAACCACAGAGAAGTGTCGACTGGGTTGTGAGGGGGTGGAAGGTATGACTTAGAAGCTATGAAGAAAGCATGAGACTTCTCAGAGGATTCAAAAGGAACTCCATATGGACCGGGGATCAAAGCTATGGGTGTGTGTACTAAAGAATCTAAATCAATAGGCTGGAGAGATGGCTCAGCAGTTACGCACACTGGCTGCTCTTCCAGAGGACCAGGATTCGATTCCCAGAACCCGCATGGTGGCTCACAAACTGCCTGTGACTCCAATTCCAGGGATTTGGACCTGGTTTCCCTCGGGCATCATGAGTCTGCACAGATTTACACGCAGACAAAATAGCCGTACGCATAAAATAAATAAACTAATTCTTTTTAAAAGGCATTTAAATCAGAATTTCTAAGCAACACATGCACTGCATATACTTTTCAGTGCTATGCACAGTGGACAAGCAGGAAGTGACCCAAGCGCCCCGTAAGAGATGCGTGGATGAAAAAAGATCTCAATTAAAAACAGCTGGTAAGCCGGGCGGTGGTGGCGCACGCCTTTAATCCCAGCACTCGGGAGGCAGAGCCAGGCGGATCTCTGTGAGTTCGAGGCCAGCCTGGGCTACCAAGTGAGTTCCAGGAAAGGCGCAAAGCTACACAGAGAAACCCTGTCTCAAAAAACCAAAAAAAAAAAAAAACAGCTGGTAACAATGACAGAAGAACAAACAAGAAAACCAAACCCCAAACGGCAGCAACAAAACCCGAGCAGCAGCTCCTAGCCACTGAGCCCACCCTCCAGCCCACCCTCACCACTGAGCCCACCCTCCAGCCCACCCTAACCACTGAGCCCACCCTCCAGCCCAACCTAACCACTGAGCCCACCCTCCAGCCCACCCTAACCACTGAGCCCACCCTCCAGCCCACCCTAACCACTGAGCCCACCCTCCAGCCCCAACCTAACCACTGAGCCCACCCTCCAGTCCACCCTAACCACTGAGACCACCCACCAGCCCACCCTAACCACTGAGTCCACCCACCAGTCCACCCTAACCACTGAGACCACCCACCAGCCCACCCTAACCACTGAGTCCACCCACCAGTCCACCCTAACCACTGAGCCCACCCTCCAGCCCCAAGACCCTGGACTTTTGTTTTATTTTTTTTTTAATTTTAAAGGTTGAAAAAATGCTAAGTATGGAAATAAACAGAAAAATATATGACCAATAGTCAGATGATAAATTAAAATTAAATTACCCAGAAATTACTCAGAAAAAGAGGTTAATAGATAAGGGCATTAAAACAGTTGTAATTATTTCATACTTTGAAAGTTACAAGAAAAATTGAACATGTTACGAAATGTAGATGATCTGGGAAGCAGAGGATCAGGGATGTTCCCCTGGGGCCTTGAGCATGCAAAGCAGGCATCCTACCACCTGAGCTATGAGCCGTAGAAAACTTTTTTTTTTTTTTTTTTAAGACAGTGTCTCACTCTGCAGTGCTGGCTGGTCTGGAACTCACAGACATCTGTCCGCATCTGCCTCCCCAGTGCTGGGTTAAAAGTGTGACCAGCTCACTGGCCTAGAGTTCTTCTTCTCATTCTCCTTCTCTCTTTCACTCTCCATTCTCTTCCTGTATCTCTGTTTCTCTCTGTCTCTCCTGTGTGTGTAGTGTGAGTATGTGTGTATCTGAGTGTGAGTGTGTGTATCTCTGTTAAGTGTGGGTCTGTGTGTATCTGAGTGTGAGTGTGTGTATCTCTGTTAAGTGTGGGTCTGTGTGTATCTGAGTGTGAGTGTGTTATCTCTGTTAAGTGTGGGTCTGTGTGTATCTGTGTCTGTGTGTGTATCTCTGCGTGTGTACCTGTGTTGTGTGTGTCTCTGTGTCTCTGTGTGTGACCTGTGTGTGTGTACCTGTGTCTCTGTGTGTATCTGTGTCTGTGTGTGTGACCTGTGTGTGTGTGTGTGACCTGTGTGTGTGTGTACCTGTGTGTGTGTACCTGTGTCTCTGTGTGTATCTGTGTCTGTGTGTGTGACCTGTGTGTGTGTGTGTGACCTGTGTGTGTGTGTACCTGTGTGTGTGTGTATCTGTGTCTGTGTGTGTGACCTGTGTGTGTGTGACCTGTGTGTGTGTGACCTGTGTGTGTGTGTACCTGTGTATGTGTGTGTATCTGTGTCTGTGTGTGTATCTGTGTCTGTGTGTGTGACCTGTGTGTGTGTGACCTGTGTGTGTGTGTACCTGTGTATGTGTGTGTACCTGTGTATGTGTGTGCATCTGTGTCTGTGTGTGTATCTGTGGCTTGGCCACAGGCTCCTTTACACACTGCCAGCCGAAGTCCTGCATTTGATAGAAAACATGAAGCAGTTGTCTTTTTCAATCTGCTTCTTCACTTAACATAATGATTTCCAGCGGCATCTACATTCCTGAAGATGCCATGATTTCATTTATAAAGTGTATTATTGTTGTTATTAGTATTGTGCGTGTGCATGATGAGTGTGGGAGTGTGTGCTAGGTTGCATACATGCTTTAGTGCATATGTGGTGGTCAGAAGACAACGTTTGGTGGTCTAGGGTTAGAACTAAGGTTGTCGGGCCTCTGAGGCAAACACTGCCCACTGAGCCATCTTTCCAGCTGTGTGTGTGTGCACACGCATGTGCCTGTGCACACAGGTGCACTCACATACGTGAAGGCCAGAGAATTCTCCTCTTTGATTGCTTTGTGATAGAGTGTCTTCTTTCACTGAATCTGGAGCGAAATTGGCCAGCAAGCTTTGAGGATTCACCTGTCTGCTTCCCCGGTGCTGGGTCTGGAGCCGCGCACCACAGCTCCTGGCTTTTCACCCGGGGTCTGGGATCCAAACTCGGGTCACTATGCCTGCGCAGTGAGTGCTCTTGCTCCATAGGGCGCTCAGAGAGAGCAGATGAGTTAATGTGTCTGGCAGGTGTGGCTACTGTTATTATTGTTGAGGATGCTCCCTCTGCATTTGTGGAGGATATAAGCAATGGGAGAAGGAGCCGAGAGAGGCAGGGCGCAGAGTATACTCGGAGAATATTGAGTAATCCCATCTGTCAGGAGAGTAATAGCCTGATGGGCTCGCGTCGGAAAGAGTTTTTAATGTCACAATAAAGAGTGTGTATCTTATTTGGTAAGCAATAAGAAACAATGATAGAGTGTATCAGCAGTTGGAAGAAAGGGCCAAAGAAAGAGAAGGTAAACCAGGAGAGAAGCATATGATGAGGAGAGGGTTCCAGGTGAGGGGTGGTGTGTCCGAATGTGGGACGGTGTTAGAAGAGACCACGATAGAGACGTATGGGGAGGATGGGTTCAGGTAGAGGAACGGGCTTAAGAGGGAAGTACGACGGCTATGTGGAGGATGGAATGGGGGTCAGGTGAGGCTAAATGAGTAATGGGGATATTCTGGGAAGTGGGGGAGATAAAAGGTGATGGAGACAGGTAAGGAGCCTGTGGTCAAGTGAATGGTACAGGTCAGTTAAGAAGACCCGGCAGCTCTTACGGGACCATCTGAGAGTGCTCAGGCAGGGTCTAGGGGGGGCAGAGTGGAACGTGATGTCAGAAAAAACGGCAGTGATGTAAAGGCTGGGGCGGTGGGGCGGTGATGTCAGGGCTGGTGCTGATGCTGGCGGCGCAGTGCATTGTGGGCAGCTCCCCACTCCGCTGCTGCTGCCGCCGCCGCCGCCGCCGCCGTCGCCCGAGGAGGATCCGGGTCGGGCCGGGCCGGGCCGGGATGGTCGGGGTCGGGAGGCCGCCGCCGCCGCGGGAGAGAGCGGGCCGCCCAGCGCCGCACTGAGCCGCCCCCGCCCCGCCCCGGCCCCGGGGGATGCGCCGCCCCGTGCCGCTGCCTTCACCGCCGCAGCCGCAGCCGCAGCCGCAGCGGACACCGAGCAGGTGAGGCGGGGCGGGGCCAGGCGGGCGGGCCGGGGGTCCCTTCTGGGGTGCATCGGGCCTCCCGCCGGGCTCACCTCCAGGGCTCGGCTCGCATCCCGCAGCGGTCTTCGGTCTCCGAGGCTGCCATCGGGAGCTGGGACACTGGCCTACACTGGCTGGGCCGCAGCCTGAGGCCTGGAGCCGCTCCCTGCCCCCGCACAGACCCACCCTTCCCAGCCCATCCCCCGCAGCGGCCCCTCCCCAGCTCCCTCCCTGTGATTTCCCTCCTCACTCTCCTGTCACCTCTGACAGGTCATTCAGCGGTCTCCAGACCCCCTCTCTCATCCTCAGACCCTCCCTTCCTCCCACCAGCCTCCCTTTTGACTCCCCAGCTGTGTCCAGAAGCCCCTCCCGTGGTCTCTTGGGGTCACTCCGTTCCTGCCACCACGATCTCCTCCCGTCTCTTGTCTTACCCCCTCCCCTCATCCTGTCTCTCTGACAGGCCCTGTTCTCTGCACTCTCCTCACCTCTTCTCTCCTGTTCTCATCCTCCTCATGGCCTCCTCTCTCTTTACCTGGCCTCTGAGATTCCCACACACACCTGCCTCACACCTTGCACAGCCACACATCAACACTTCTGCTCCCAAACCACAATATGCTCCTAAGCACTTAGTGCTCTCTCTCCACTTACCCCACATTCTCGTGCATGCACACAGCCATGCCTTCACACACACACACACACACACACACACACACACACACACACACACACACACACACATACACACACACACACACACACACACACACACACACACACACACACACGGACCTCAGAGGGCAGTAATCAAGCACCCAAGCTTGTCAACCCAGTCTGGGATAGCTGGGGTCCACGGAGGCATCCTCTGGGAAGGGTGGTGGATAGGATGGCCAGTTCTCCCCCCACCCCACACCCATTCCTTTTAGACTTTTCCAAGTATCATCTGTGAGCAGCACACAGACTTTCCTCATCCGCCTACAGAGCCCACCATACAGGACTAAGGCCCCTCCAATTGTTCAACTTTTTAAATTATAATTTTTTTTCCAGTACTGGGAACTGAATGTAGGGCCCTGTACTGACTTGTTAGGCCAATATCTTGCCGTATCTCAATCCTCCCCTTTGGATTACATTTTATTTATCTTGTGTGTGGAGGGTGTATGCCTGCCACGGCACACATGTGGAGGTCAGAGGACAAGATGCAGGGAGGGTCTGGTTCCCTCTGTTCTTCACATGGGTCTCAGGAATCAGACTTGATGGTGAGGGCCTTTTCTCACAGAACTGTCCTGGCAGGCCCCCAGCCCCCTTTTTATTAAAAAGTTCATTTTTGGTGGTGTTGGGAGTTGAAGCTGGAGCCTTGACCGTGCTGGACATGTGCTCCACCACTGAGCTTCCTCCCCAGCCTGAATTTAACTCTTTTCTTTCCCCCTGTGCTGGGGCTGGGGCTGGGGCCGTGGCCTCCTGCACATTAGGATTAAGTTCCAGCCGGGCTCCAGCTGAGGCTCCTCCACACAAGTTTGATTGCTTCTCCAGTCTTTTTTGTTTAGTTGTTTTCAGCCAGCGTATCTTGTAGCCCAGGCTGGCCTTGAACTTGCTGTATAGCCAAGACTAGTCTCAAATCCCTCATCCTCCTGCCTCACCTCCAGAGTGCTGGGATCCCAGGTGTGTGGTACCAAGACCAGCTGCCTCGGTCTTGTCCTCGACCTATATTCCGGAACCCCACCCCATTTCCTTCCGTCTTGCCTTTGTCGTCCCTGACTTCCGAACTCCTGAAGGCCCGTAGACCTGGCGTTGTACGGATTGGAGGAGACATTTCAGCTCAGTCATTTCCAAAAAAGCTAAAAAAGAGTGACAATGGAAATGCTTTCTCTTCGTGTCCCACGGGAACACTGTGACCTGGAGAAGATGTCTCAGGTCCTTCACAACCCATCCTGCCCTTATCAGGATGTCTAGACACAGGACCTGAGAAGTTAGCCCTCTAAAGGAGTGCCAGGCTCATGGAGTAACTGTAATGTCCTTTTCCCCCATTTACAAAGAGCTTAGCTACAATTAGTAATTGTAGTGTCCCACCCCATTTACAAAGAACTTTCCACCTCTCCTATGCCCAGTCCCCAGGCTGAATGACTCCCTTCACTCCTGTGTTGGCTCTCCAGCGTCATGGTTAGTGTGGCAGAGAGCACATAAAGTATCTATAGATGAAAGATGAGAAGAAAAGATGCTGTTTCCAAATCCTGTGCTGGCTTGGCAGAAATACCAGAAAGTCACCTTTATTGGCCCCCTCTCTACACATTCGCACACAAAGCAAGACATGTACACTCATACAGAGGGGTACATGAACACAGGCACACACAGATGCACACACACATGTTTCTTTGGATAACATACATCTTAGTACCTCTGAAGGTTGGGATACTAGTTCCAGTACTCAACTTCTATCCACCTAAGCACATTAGAAGCTGCACTCCTCCAGGCTGGCTCCACATAGAGGTAGAAAGGGGCTTGCTCACCCCCACCTACCCAGACTGTGGTTCTCTATCACTCTCTGCCTTCCCTCAGACAGCACCCACTACTCTGCTCTCTCCCAGTTGAGTTTGGCCCTCGTGGAGTAGACACTGGAGTGTCATCCCTCTGAAATCCATGGCTTGAGTCCATGGTCTTGTGTTCACTGTTGGCACACATCCTGGCTTCCCAGTCTTGTGGCTGCCAGCGGGGCCAGCGTCCACTGAGGGTGGTGGTCACCTCTCAACAGTCCAGCTGCCTCCATGCCACCCTCAAGGGGCCATTGTGCATGTCCTTGTTTTTCTTGATGGTCACATCTCTCTGGTTGGCTGGGTGGCCAGTCTGATGAGGGTATTCCATGGCTTACCCATGCTCAGCAAGTCTTCCCTCTCAGCCAGCCAGCAAAGCACAGCTCCACAGGAGTTGTGTGGCCCAGGCTAGGTGGGGACAACTGGGACCAACTGGGACCACAGGTAGTGAGTGACTCAGGCTTGTCATTCTTGGGTCTCCTCCTAGGATTGCCCCCTGGCTAGTGCATCTTCCCCTCCTTCCTTTGGAATGTCTCTATGGTAAACGTTTCCCCCATGGCTTATTCACACTTCACTGCCCTCTCCTGTTTTCGTCCTGTGTGTGTCCTGTTGCTGATTTTTCACACTTCCCATTTGTGGTTTATATTACCTCCTTTCCACTGACCTCCATCACCAGAAGTATTTCTCCCAGTAACTCCTTGAGCATCAGAGGCCCCCCCCCCCAACCCCACTCCACCCCACCCCGCCTTGGGAAGGATGCCTGCCAGCAGGATGGGGCTCCTTTCCCCAGCTGTCAGGTGGTCTAGGGTGGCAGCCAGGCTGTTCACTGCCCTTCCTCACTCCCCCAGGTAGATGGCCCACCAAGGGCAGGCCCTGCGGACACCTCTCCGTCCGGCTGGCGGATGCAGTGCCTAGCGGCTGCTCTTAAGGACGGAACCAACATGAGTGGGGGAGGGGAGCAGGCCGACATCCTGCCGGCCAACTACGTGGTCAAAGATCGCTGGAAGGTGGTGAGTGAGTGACCTAGCTGGGCAGCGGGAGGGGTTTGGGAAAGGAGAAGAAGAGATCTGGAGACTCCCTAAGACTGGTGCCCTTGGAGCCCTTACCCTAAGTGGGAGGTGTCCTCGAGCTCGTTTGCATACCGCTCAAATGTTATCTTTGCCCACACATTCTCCCAGTACCCTCTCTCCAGCCCGGCTCCCTCTCACCCCTGCCCGGGCTAGGTCGTGCTGGTCCAGCTCAGCCTGAACGACTCCTAGGTGGATGTCTAGGTGCGAGCTGCAGAGCCCGGGTGCGGAGGAGGGTGGTGGGGGAGGGGGCTCCTTCTCTGCCGCACCTTGGGGAAGGACATTGAGTGAGCATGTGTTCCTCCGCTTCCGCAGAGGACGGAAAGGCTTGGGTCTGGGGAAAGAGGCCCTGCGGGCTGCTCCCACCGCATCCGCACTCCATCTTCTCCATCCACCCTCCTCCCTTCCCGGGTTCCTGCGGCAGGTGCAACACGCCGAGACTCCATCTCCCAGCGTGCCCTGTTCCGCTAACCCAGGACTTTGGGCTCCTTGGCCTGCTGGGAGTTGTAGTCCGAGTTTATTCGTGGCGGGGGCGGGGCGGGGCCAGGGGGAGATGATATCCTGGGGTGGGAGGGGTTCACGTAAGGGTCCGGACAGTGGTTGTGTCTGGGGAATCAGACCTACTGTCAGTCAGCCTCGTCCAAACCCTTTTTTCTCCATCGTTTTAAAGCATCCTGGTGTCCCCTTTATTGTCGGGTGGGATGATGATGTAGGATGGTATAGTGTGGGAAAAGTGTGTGCGGCTGTGGGGTATGCACAGAAATGGGGATCCAGAGGGGAAGAAAGAACCATAGAGGTCAGATGTTTTCACTGTGTACAGTTGTGGTGTTCGCGTGTGCGCGTCCCTGGGCTTTGGTGTGGTGCGGCTCAGCTTACTAGGGGTGCTGGGTTGGAGAGGAGGGTGGGGCCTGGGTGCCGGCGGATCTCCATGGCAGCAGTCCCCCGGCCGCGCAGGTCCCCTAGAGGTCCACGGAGAGAGGCAGAGTAGCATTTTCAGGAATTGGGAGTGGGGGTGTTAGGAGATTCTTAGGGCCCCTGAAGCGGGATTCCTGAGAAAGAGTAACTGGACAGAAATGCAGGAGGAGCCGGGGCAACCAGAAAAGGAAGGGGTGTTTGGCAAAGTGAGAAGCGCTCCTTCAAGACCCCCGGGTCCCTGGCACACGAGCTTGGTGTCTGGCAGATGGGAGGCTGAATAACATTTGTACTGAAAAGGCAAGAAAAAGACTGTTCACACACACTGAGTTTAGACTAAAGACCTTGTTGTGCTCTGTGGAAGGGCGATGGGAGTGTGCAGGGAGAGAGATGGCAGAGGGAGTGGCGGGGGCTGTGGGGGAGGGCGAGTATGCCAGACCTGGACTGTCCTTAAGGCTGTCTCCTGCTCCTTCCCCCGGAGAGCTGGAGACCAGGTGCCAGATGCAGCCAGCCATTTTCAGGCAGGGATGGGACTGATGTGTGAGTGTGGGAACCGGGAGTCATGGACCAGAGAGGCGCTGCAGCCAGGAGAAGCGGGGTCAGCGATCTAGGAAGAATATTTAAAAACAGGAAGTTGTAAATAAATGTCTTTGTGCTACAAAATAAAATAAAATAAAAACAGTAAGTCGTTCTTGAGGGGTGATCCTTGCAAGCAGCATAGCAAACAACAGCAATAAAAATCCTAGTGTTTGTGCTGTACCTTTTAAAAGATAACTTATTTGTTTTATGTGCATTGGTGTTTTGCCTGCATGTGTATCTGTGTGAGATGTCAGATCTTGGAGTTACAGATGGTTGTGAGCTGTCATGTGGGTGCTGGGAATTGAACCTGGGTCCTCTGGAAGAACACCAGTGCTCTTAACCGCTGAGCCATCTCTCCAGCCCCTCTTTCTTGTTCTCAGAGGCTGTGAAGGTGCCCTCCGGGGGTTATCTCAGGAACTGATGTTAGATACGGCAGTCACCAGCACACCTGTTTCATAGGTGTGGTCAGCTAACTTGCCAGTTTCATGATCAGAAGACAGGCTGAGGTCTGTCTGCCACATGAACACAGTCAGTATAAATATCAGCCCATGTGAGACTTGGGGCCTTAGGGATGAAAGATCTTTGTGACTTGTTTCAATCCAACTCTCTCTCTCTCTCTCTCTCTCTCTCTCTCTCTCTCTCTCTCTCTCTCTCTCTCTGAGACAGGGTTTCTTTGTGTAGTTTTTGGTCCCTGTCCTGGATCTCACTCTGTAGCCCAGGCTGGCCTCGAATTCACAGAGATCCTCCTGGCTCTGCCTCCCGAGTGCTGGGATTAAAGGCATGCGCCACCACCGCCCAACTCAATCTGACTCTCTTATTGAGGAGAAAAAGCAGAGACTCAAAAGTTAACAAAATGTAGATAACTTTAGGTTGTCCAGAGTGGGACCAAGAGAAGGGTGTCTGTGCCAAATAAACCCAGGCTCTCTTGTGTTGTGTTTCTTCTCTGGTTTAGGGAGGTCCTTCAATGGGGGTTGGGATCGTTAAAACACACAGAAGCAGAGAAACGGGGCCTGCTAAGGGTCCGAAGGGTGTTCTCTTAAGGGGCTTTGAGCAGGGGCGCCTTGTGACGTTCACGGGCCCTGGGCACTTTTGTCTCATGACACCTCCTTTTATTTTTATTTTTATTTATTTATTTATTTATTTATTTATTTATTTATTTATTTATTTATTTATTTATTTATTTTTTGGTTTTTCGAGACAGGGTTTCTCTGTGTAGCTTTGTGCCTTTCCTGGAACTCACTTAGTAGCCCAGGCTGGCCTCGAACTCACAGAGATCTGCCTGGCTCTGCCTCCCGAGTGCTGGGATTAAAGGCGTGCACCACCACCGCCCGGCCGACACCTCCTTTTATAACAGGGTACTAAAAATTGCATTTTTATGACACATTGTTACAGAGAGTAATACATTCATATTCTAGACCGAGATTTTCTTTTTGGTCTAAAAGTTCATCTTTATCTTTTGGTTGTGAGCCTTGCCTTCAACGGCTGAGCCATCTCTCCAACCCCACTTTTCATGGATCCCAAAAAATGTGAGGGGCCTAGTCACTGTGGCCAGTGGATGAGAATGCCCTCATCGCAGAGCAGAAGGAAAGGATGCTGGCTGAGTGAATGCCAGCAACCAGACCCCTCCCTAGGGATGGGGAGAGAAGTAAAGGAGGTTCAGTTTGGGGGAAAGGCCAATAGAGAAGCTGGGCCCCGGGAAGCTGGGAGCCGGGGAGCAGGCGTTAGGCGTGTTCCCACAGCAGGGAGTCTGATGGCTTGAGTGTCAGCATCCACACTTACGTGCTCAGTGGTCCACATCCCGTAACCTATGGCTCCTACACCGGTAGGTTCTGTCTCCAGCTGATGCAGTTTGGAGAAAATGCAGCCCAGTTATCTACTAGCCGTGTGGCCTAGCCAAAGCATGGCAGGCCCTGGGCCTTGTGACTGTCCCCGTGTGCACCACGGGGAGTCAGGCGACCCTCCTCCCTTGTGCTGCAGAGCCTGGGACTGACTGTGGTGAGGTCTGTGAGCCCCTCACGCGCCTACCCTGTCTGTCCTCTGTGCTCACACGCAGCTGTAGAAGGATGCGGACTAGGCTATTGTCTCCCGAGGCTAGAGCTCCCCGGAGACAGGCCGCTGTCTCGAGGCTGGGTCCTTCCCACCTGGTTGTTAGGTGTCTCTTGTCACTAGCTTCCATCAGAGTAAGGTGCTGCCCGCTCCTTCCGCCCTCTGCCCTTTCTCTTTCCGTGTTTCCTCCCCTGCCTCAAGAACCTTCGCCTTTCCTCACAGTGCTGGCTTCTCTTCTGTCCTTTATTGTTATGACTGTTTTTACATTTATCGAAGTGTGCTGTGGCTTTGTGTGTCATGATGTGTGTGGGGAAGTCAGAGGACAGCATGAGGCAGTTGGCTCTCCTTCCATGTGGGTCTTGGGGATCAAACCCAGGATGTCAGGCTTGCAGCAAGCACCTTTACTTGCTAAGCTCCTACCCATGGTGTTCCTCCCTCTCTCCTTCCCCCTCCCTCCCCTTCTTTGGAGACAGGGACTCAAATATCCCAGGCTAGCCCTGCTATGTAGCGCAGGCTGGTACTGAACCTTTACCTCCTTCTCCCAGTGTGCACCACCGTGCCTGGTGGATGTGGTACTGGGATCGAACCTGGGGCTTCTTGTGTGACAAGCAAGCACTCTGCTGACCAAGCTACACCCCGGCCCTGCCCTCCAGATGACCCACAATCTCTAGAACCCTGTGTCATCAGGGCAGTCTCCATGTCTGCCTGAAGCCGTGTGTCTCTTATATTCTGCTCCTATTTAGATACCTGTCCGGTGCCGTGTGTGTGTGTGTGTGTGTGTGTGTGTGTGTGTGTGTGTGTGTCCTCTCCTTCAAGAATATCACCTGCCCATCAGTGGAGAATAGAGTCAGCAGAGGTGGGCTGAGGAGCTGTCCAGCTGGATCCCTGAGCACAATTCTTCCCCTCATCCACAGCTGAAAAAGATCGGGGGCGGGGGCTTTGGTGAGATCTACGAGGCCATGGACCTGCTGACCAGGGAGAATGTGGCCCTCAAGGTGGAGTCAGCCCAGCAGCCTAAGCAGGTCCTCAAGATGGAGGTGGCTGTGCTCAAAAAGCTTCAAGGTACCACCCTGGGGCTGGGGCGTGGGAAGGAAGAGGTGATGGAGCCAGGGGCTGGGAAAATGATGAGATCAGAGGCTTGAGTGAGGAAATGTAATATGGTTGAGGAAGAAGGTGATGGAGCCAGGATCTAAGAAAGATGGGACCAGAGGCTAGGAGAGCGACGGGGAGTGATGAGGGAGATTGTCGGTGATGGCCAAGTGAGGTGGGTCATGGCTTACAGACAACAGTGTGACCAGAGCGTTAGAAAGAAGGTGGGACCGAGGGTGGGAGTTGCAGGGCTGTTACAGAGGCATTCCGGGAACCGGGGCTGGAACAGGATTCGAGAGGGTGCCAGAGGGGTGGCTAAATGGCTGCAGGGTCAAAGCACTTCAGATTCTCAGAACCCACATCAGCGCTAGGTGGGCATGGCACACATACACACCACACACAACAAAGTGGTGTGTGTGTGTGTGTGTGTGCGTGCGCGCACTGGGGTGGGGGTAGGGGGGCACACCAGAGCCTGTCTTTGGCTGGTGAGGAGGAAGGAATGGGACTTGGGAGGCCCCTGTTTTTTGTGCCCTTCAGGGAAGGACCACGTGTGCAGGTTCATTGGCTGTGGCAGGAACGAGAAGTTCAACTATGTGGTGATGCAGCTGCAGGTGTGTGCCTGGGACCTGTCCACCTGCCTCTTTCCCCGAGAGCTGGAGTGTGACTTGGGTGTGGCATGGGGAAGGGAAGCATCGGTCCCTGATGGGATGGGTAGAGGGTAGGCACGACCCTTTGGGGGCAAGGCTGTCATAGTGGTGGTAGCTGGGATGTGGCAGAGATGAGTCTTCCCCCTCCCTTTCCCGTCCTATCCCATCTCATCCATCTCGTCCACCCTACCCAGGGCCGGAACCTGGCTGACCTGCGCCGCAGCCAGCCGAGGGGCACTTTCACGCTAAGCACCACACTGAGGCTGGGCAAGCAGATCCTGGAGTCCATCGAAGCCATCCACTCCGTGGGCTTCCTGCACCGTGACATCAAGCCGGTGAGCAGTGTGCCTGGGCGCTCCTGTGGGGCCTGGCCGCTCCACTCCAGTGGTTGAACCTCAGGAACCTCTTCTACTTAAACACTTCTTGATCCACACCAAACCCCATCTCCTCGTTCTCACCTCTTGGCCATGTCAGGCCCGAGTGCCCAGCACTCATCTCTGTCCATTCTTCATCTCTCACCCACGACCCTCTGTAGTCCTTCAGTCTAGAGGTGAGGAGGTCAGGGGAGGCCATCTTGGATCTTGGTGCTAGAAAAGGAAAGTAAAATCCTCTCATTTAAAAGGGTCAAGAGAGAAGTGTGGGAAGGCTGAGTGGACGGCCCCAGGGCACACAGCAAGAAAGGTGCAGGGCGGCTGATTCTGAGCCGGCAGCCGTACCAAGCCCCGCTGCCCCTTTGGGAGCTGAGGATTTAGAGCAGGATGGAGCAGCGCTCGAAGCTGCTCTCTCACCGGTTCTGTGATTCAGAGAAGCGTCCTCAGCCTTGGACCTTCCCTTCAGTGTCTCTAAATGAGGATAGTCACTCCTGCTCTGTTGCTGAGATGCCACAGTCATACTCTCGCGAATCTGGGTGGGTGTAAGAATCCATGGGCTGGGGGCCCTTCAGCACTGGCATAGCAAAACCTTAGTGAGTCTGGGGGTGCTGGACCCCAGCTCACGGCTGCTCTCTTCCCACAGTCCAACTTTGCCATGGGCCGGCTGCCCTCCACCTACAGAAAGTGCTACATGTTGGACTTCGGGCTGGCCCGGCAGTACACTAACACTACAGGAGACGTCCGGCCCGTGAGTACCACTAGGCGTCAGGGTGGTGGGGTTCTAAGAATTCTCTGGTATGGGGACATTTCTCCTCATAGCTTCCTAAGCAGGCTTGGTGTTCTTTTAAGGACCAGTACATCCAACCGTGGGATGACAGCTGGTACCTGGGTGAGGTGGGCAGTCAGTCTTGGTGGCGGTAGGGTTGGCAGTGTGGCTGAGGTGTGGTCTCTTTTTTGCAGCCTCGGAATGTGGCCGGGTTCCGGGGGACTGTTCGCTATGCCTCGGTCAATGCCCACAAGAACCGGGTGAGTGGGTGGCATGCCCTGAGTTAAGGGCTAAGGGCAGAAAGACAAAGCTGGGTATGGAGGGAGCCGTGGATGTCAAGGTGGGGAGAAAAGAATGGAGTATGGGCTGCAGCCTGGAGATGGAGGAAGGTGTCCCTGTTGGCTGCCCTGATGTCCTTCTCTTCTGGACCTCCATTATCTCTCTCCCCACTGAAAATCCACCCCCTTTTTTTTTGAAGAGACAAAACATACTCAGGCCGGGCGGTGGTGGCACATGCCTTTAAGCCCAGCATTTGGGAGGCAGAGCCAGGGGGATCTCTGTGAGTTCAAGGCCAGCCTGGTCTACAGAGTGAGATCCGGGACAGGCACCAACTACACAGAGAAACCCTGTCTTGAAAAAAACCAAAACCAAAACCAAACAAAACCAAACCATACTCAGAACTTTTTACTGTGGTGTCTTTGTGCTGAGGTGTAGGATGAGCCACAGCCTCAGAGAGACCCTAGCATTGCCTTTCTGGGTCTGGGTGTCAGATGTCCCCAGAAAAGGGTCCACCACCCCTTCCCAGAGGAGGACTTGAGAACTTGAGGTGACTCTCCCCTTCCCTCTCAGGAGATGGGCCGCCACGATGACCTGTGGTCTCTCTTCTACATGTTGGTGGAGTTCGCAGTGGGCCAGCTGCCCTGGAGGAAGATCAAGGACAAGGTGAGCCCCCCCAGCTGGGTGGAAGAGGCGAGGGGACTAGCTGGGGCCTTACCTCCTGTGTCCGCTCCCCTCCAGGAGCAGGTGGGGATGATCAAGGAGAAGTACGAGCACCGGATGCTCCTGAAGCACATGCCATCTGAGTTCCATCTCTTCCTGGACCACATCGCCAGCCTTGACTACTTCACCAAGCCTGATTACCAGGTGCGACCCCCAGCCTGGGGCACCACTCAGAGGTTGCTGGCCCCCAACAGTGACTGCCCCCCCCCCCGCCCCCGCAGCCTGGCATACTTCAATGCCCCTGCATCTGCCCCTTGGACTTCTAACTATACCAAACTGTTCTTGCCCTTGCAAACAGCAGTCACTGCTAAGATTTCTCAAGAGCTGACCCTCCCCAGTATAAGTACTGTTCATGTGTTACCACATTCAAGCTTCAAATTAAGGGTCTGGGGCAGGGGCATGATCATACACATCTTTAATTCTAGCACTTGGGGTGGGGGTGGATGTCTCTGTGAGTTTGAGGACAGCCTGGTCTCTGCTCTGCATAGAGAGTTCCAGGCCAGCTGGGGTACACAGTGAGAGCCTGGGTAGGGGAAGGATCATGATATGATGTTTGACAGCAGAACTCTGCAGGAAGCCAACTGGGATGATTGTTCAGAGGTGGGAACCGAGATTAGATAGACGTCATGGTTAAGAGCAGGGCTGGGTTCAGACAGTAATACATTGCTTAGTGGCGGAAGCAGACTGTCCTTAGTATCTCACTGTATAGCCATTGTAGAGCTCACTTCCCAAACCTGGACAGGCCCTCCCTTCATCAACCCTGTCCTACAGTGTGGCAGACAAGACCAGATAATGATCCAGACAAGAGAAGCAGTGCACCTGAGACTCTCAAGCTTCTCCTGGCCTAACATAGCATGCTGTAGCAAATTACAGTTTCTGTTGTTCTTGAGACAGGGATTCATGTAGACCAGCTGTCCTCAAACTCAATATGTAGCTGGAGATAACCTTGAACTTCTGACCCTCCTGCCTCCACCTCCCAAGTGCTGGGATTTTAGACGTGTGCCACCATGCCCCATGTTTCACCGTGCCTGAGACTGAACCCAGAGCTTCCTGCATGCTAAGCAAGCAGACCTTCCACTAACATAGCCACATAACCAACCCCAGTAAACTTCTCTTTTGTAAGTAGAGGGTGTATGTTCTAAAATAGTGATTTAAAAATAATTGGCCAGGTGTGGCGATTCACAGCTGCAATCCCAGAACTCATGAGGCAGAGGCAGGAGCATCACGAATTTGAGGTCAGCCTGGGCTACATAGGGAGACTCTCTCTCAACAACAACAAAGATCGGGGCTAGAGAAATGCTTTATCAGTCAACAGCACGTGCTGATTTTGCAGCGGACCCAAGTTCAATTCCCAGGAGTTTCACATCTTCTGGCACCCACAGGCACCTGCATTCATGTGTATAACACCCCCTCACACACACATACAAACATACACATAATTTTTTAAATAAAATAAACACAAAATCAAAAATCAAACACATAGTGTTATGTACTGCATAATCATATGACTGATGATACCAGCACCACCACACACTGAATTAATGTTGTTATACAATGTCACATGACCAGGTGATAGGAATTTTCCAGCTTCTCAATAACTTCATGGCACCATCCTCATATACATCACTGTGGTGAAGGACACTGACTCCAGGTCTAATGCTCTCCCCATGACTCCGTCACCACACCTCATAGGACCTATCATGCTGTTGACAGAATGTAGAGATATATCATCAGTGTTTGCCCAGAAGCCACTCTGGATGAGGCACAGTGCTGCACAATGAGGGGAATTGGAGAGTGTCAATCACACAGCAGCAGACATTGAAGCAAGTGGACCCTATCATCAAGTGCCTTCCCCGGGCTCTGAAGCGAGCCAGCCCAACGCTGAATGGCTTGGGCTTCTCAGAGGTCTTGTAGCCACCTGCTACCTCTTGAACCCGACGTCCCAGTTGCTGGTGGAGCTGACCCCCGACTCCTTGTCCTGGCTCAGCCTCATTGAGAGTCCCTTGGTCCACACAGTTATGAACACCTACCTGTTGAGCCCTGTGATGATGGCTAGAGATGTAGAATTGGCAGGGAAGCATGCAAGAAGTGATGCAAAATGGATGCTCTGTGCCCAGTGCTGAGAGGGGAACTGGATGGGAGTGAGTCAGGTGCCAGGAGAGGACTGTGAGAGAGGCACCCATCAGAGGCAGTAGCCTGCAGAGAGTCCTAAGACCATGAGGGAACCCAGTGGTTCAGGGCCACTGATGTGCCTGTTCAGATGACAGAAAAGGCAGCAGAGTCTGGAGACTGTCCTCAAAGGACAGGTCTCAGAGGACTAGCACCCATCTGGTGGGGCTTAATCCAAGAGGAGAATTTGCATCCTGCTTTGTGCTGTGTTTTCATTTAAAGTCAACAAGCACTTCTTCCAATGCCCCCTCTCGGCCCATCCCTGGCCCCGCTGCAATCCCGGCTCTTGCCCCTTCCACCTGGCCGGCCCTGGGGTCACCCCTCTATCTTCCTGCTGCCCCCATCCGCTGCAGTTGATCATGTCGGTGTTTGAGAACAGCATGAAGGAGCGGGGCATTGCTGAGAATGAGGCCTTTGACTGGGAGAAGGCGGGCACCGACGCCCTCCTGTCCACAAGCACCTCCACCCCACCCCAGCAGAACACCCGGCAGACAGCAGCCATGTTCGGGTGAGTCTGAGTGGGGGCATCAGGGTGGGTGGGGTGGTCAGTGACCCTCACCTGGAGCCATCATCCCAGAAGCCAGCCCTCTCATCCTCCTTGGACACCCCTAGTTGTATCTTTTTTTTTTTTAAAGATTTATTTATTTATTATGTATACAGCATGTATGACTGCAGGCCAGAGAGGGCACCAGATCTCATTACAGATGGTTGTGAGCCACCATGTGGTTGCTGGGAATTGAACTCAGGACCTTTGGAAGAGCAGTCAGTGCTCTTAACCTCTGAGCCATCTCTCCAGCCCCCTAGTTGTATCTTTATGCTGGATTCTTGGCTGTCCTATCATAGTCTACCTTGAATCTAAGCATGGAGTGGGTACCTTCTTCATTTAGAGCTTTTGACTAAGGAAGAAATCCTGGTGAATCAACTTGAACCCCACAGTCTGCCTTTCTCATTGTAAATAACGAACATGTGTGTCTTACATCATCTGAACACTGCAGGGGCTCAGGGAGACATTGGTTCCTGTCTTCACAGGGCCTCAGCCGATGTGGGGAAGTAGTTTCCGAAACATGTGGGGCATGTAGAAGGGTACCTGGGGAGGCTCCTGACTAAGAAGTGTTCCCACCTCTACTAGCCAGGATTCTCTAGGGGACCAGAACTGATAGAATGAATGTATTTATTAGAATGACTTATAGGCTGTGATCCAGCTAGTCCAACAATGGCTATCTATCAATGGAAGGTCCAAGAATTAGAAGTTGTTCAGCCCCTGAAGCTGAATGTCTCAGCTGGTCTTCAGTACACATCAGAATCCTGAAGAAGTAGGCTCTAAGGCCAGTGAAGGAATGGATTTGCCAGTGAGAGCCAGAGCAAGAAGAAGCAAAGAGAGCAAGCTTCCTTCTCCCATGTCCTTTATGTAGGTGGCCAGCAGAAGGCATGCCCAGATTAAAAGTGGATCTTCAGATTTTGAAAGATCTGGATTAAAGGTGTAGCTTTCCACTTTAAAGATCCAGATTAGAAATGCATTTCAAATTATTTAATTAAGAAAACTCAGCCGGGCGGTGGTGGCGCACGCCTTTAATCCCAGCACTCGGGAGGCAGAGGCAGGCGGATCTCTGTGAGTTCGAGGCCGGCCTGGTCTACAAAGCAAGTTCCAGGAAAGGTGCAAAGCTACACAGAGAAACCCTGTCTCGAAAAACCAAAAAAAAAAAAAAAAAAAACTCCCTCACAGGTGTACCCAGTCATTTGGGTTTTAGTTAAATGCAGATGTAGTCAAGTTGATAACCAAGAATAGCCGTCACATCACCTAATCCAGGGTCACCTTTGGGAGGGAGATGTCATAGAAATTGCTGGCACACCACGATGGCCCAATTCTGTGCTGAGGCTGCTCGAGGAAGTGGGGTATGATGGTACATACCTACTTCTAGCATTTTTGGAAGGATGAGGCAGGAGGATTATGAGTTTGAGACTAGCCTGGACTACACAGGGAGACCTTGTTTTGAAAACAGAGAGGAGTCTGGGAAATGTGGCTCAGTGGATAAAGCACTCTCAGCCCAATCATGAGGACCTGAGTTAGGGTTCCCAGAACCCGCATAAGGGGGACACAGTATTGTGTCCCTGTAATCCGTGTGTCCCTATGGTGAGATGGGACGCAAGGCCAGAAAGCCCCCGGGAAGCTTGCAGCTCAGCCAGCCTGATGCACAAGAGAGCCTTACCTCAGTGGATCCTGGGGGCTAGTTGCCAGTCAGTCTAGCTGAAATAGCAAGTTCCAGGTTCACTGAGAGACCTTATCTCAAAAAACAGGGTGAGGGCTAGGTGTGGTGGCTCACACTTTTGATCTCAGCACTCAGGAGACAGAGGCAGGCAGATCTCTGGGAATTTGAGACCAGCCTGGTCTACATAGCAAGTTCCAGATCAGCCAGGACTACATAGTAAGACCCTGTCTCAAAAAATAAAACAAACAAATGCGGGGCGGTGGTGGCACACGCCTTTAATCCCAGCACTTGGGAGGCAGAGCCAGAGCCAGGTGGATCTCTGTGAGTTCGAGGCCAGCCTGATCCCCAGAATGAGATCCAAGACAGGCTCCAAAGCTACACAGAGAAACCCTGTCTCAAAGCTACACAGAGAAACCCTGTCTCGAAAAGAACCAATAAATAAACAAACAAATAAATAAATATGAACAAAAACAAAAACAAAACAAAGTGAAGAACCATAGAGGAAGACATTCCCACACCAACCTCTGGCCTCCACATGCATACACACACACACACACACACACACACACCCCACAATTATGTCTCAAGATGGAGGCAGAGCCAACAGCTAAGGTTGTCATCCAACCTCCACATGCATACTGTGTCATATACACTTGTGTACACAGACTCACAAAGATAAAAATAAACTAAACAAAAACAGAAAGTAAATAAAATTTATCAAGGAGGTAACATGTGGAGCTGGAGAGATAGCTTGGCAGTTAAGAACACTGGCTGTTCTTGCAGAGGACCTGGGTTTGATTCCCAGCACCCACATGGTGGTTCACAGTTGTCTGTAACTCCAGAGCAGGGGACCCAGCGCCCTCTTCTGGCTTTCTCAGGCACTGCACACACACGGTGCGCATACATACATGCAGGCAAAACACTCTTACACATAAAAGTAACTACATCTCTTTTTAAAAGTTCTCCAGATAAAGAGTATAAAGGGTTGTTTACAGACTTGTTCCAGGGTCTGAAGGGAGCCAGACACTGACCGTGGGCTGCAGCAAGGGTGGACATGTTCTAGTCCCTGCTGGCCACATTTCCTTGCAGCCCCTGCCAACTTGAGGATGATCTGGTCTCAGAGGCCTTGTGGGTCAGGGATGGCAATGGAATGTCCACTCTGGAGGGTCCCCAGGGCCTGTGCTGGCAGAGATTAAAGGAGAAAAGAGAGAGGGGCATCCCTGCCCGCCTTACCCATGACTCTCCCTGGCCTCTCCAGAGTGGTCAATGTGACACCGGTGCCCGGGGACCTGCTTCGTGAGAACACTGAGGATGTGCTACAAGGCGAGCACCTGAGTGACCAGGAGAACGCACCCCCGATCCTGCCTGGGAGGCCTCCGGAGGGGTTGGGGCCTAGTCCCCACCTTGTGCCGCACCCTGGGGGTCCCGAGGCTGAAGTGTGGGAGGAGACAGATGTCAACCGCAACAAGCTGCGCATCAACATCGGCAAAGTAATTGCACCCAGGCAGAGGGTGTGGGCGGCCTTCCCCATCTGGGTTCCCAGCCCTTGACCCCATCCTCCCAGTCCCCCACCCCCCCGCCTCATGTCTCTTCTCCCCTGAGAAAGCCTCTCACCCTTAGCCAGCTTGTCAACCCCAACTCACAGCATCGCCTCTCCTACAGACCCCCTGCGTGGAGGAAGAGCAGAGTCGGGGAGTAGGGGTCCCCAGCTCCCCAGTGCGTGCCCCCCCAGACTCCCCAACAACTCCAGTACGGTCTCTACGCTACCGAAGGGTCAACAGCCCAGAGTCGGAGAGGCTGTCGACAGCAGCTGATGGGCGGGTAGAGCTGCATGAGAGGAGGTGAGTTTGTAGACAGGGGTTCGGGGTGACAACGGCCCTCTGGTCCCGTCCGCCTTCATCAGCGTGGCGGTCTGTGAAAGTTCATGTGTGAGGCAGGAGTTGAGGAACCCTAGAAAGCATGGTGGGGGTGTGCTTGGCTTGGGGTCAGTCGGTGGCCTGTGGTGGGGTATCCAGAGAGGAGAGAGTGGGACAGGCCAGTTTCTGGGCCCAGGCCTCGGTTCTAGATGACTTTTTCCTAGACAACGATTCCTAGATGCCTGGAGAGCAGCAGAGATGGATTGCCTTTGACCTGCAGAGAGCTGAGAAAGGGGGTGAAGAGGCTGCTGGTGGCAGGGTGGGATGAGTTTTGGGGTGTAAGGGGTATGAATTGAGAGCAGGGGGGACCCAGCAGGAATCTGGCTAATGAGGGGCAGGGGGTGGGGCGCTGAGGGAATTGGCCTTTGGGAAGTGGGAGGACAGTAAAGTCGGCCGTGGGTGGCGTGTAGCTGGCAGGGGTTAGCCGAGTCACCACCTGAGTGAGTGGGACACCAGGTGGGGGGCATCTGGAGGAGGAAATGTCACGAGTTTTCCTTTGCTCCATAGTAGACCAGGGCCTTCTGTGCACTAGGAAAGGGAAAAGAGGCCCATTCGGCCATGCAGGAAGAGGGCAGCCTTTCTGATACCCACTCAGTGTCTTTCGGGCACCATGACCTGCACCAGCCACGGCCCCTCCCCCGGACCCTGCCCTAAACTGTCCTAGCCTCCCAGATGAACACAGTGCCAGTCTGGGGGCTAGACAAACCACAGGCAGGGCTGGGTCCCTGGGAGTGTGACAGCTCACTCACTTACCTGGGCTGTCCTGCCGGGCGCCAGACACCTCATCTCCACCCATGGCAGCATGGGGTCCCTTGGTAGAGAGGGTTCTGGACACGGAGAAGTAAGGAAGGGATATGAGTGGAGACGAGAGGGGCAAGTGTCCCGAGCAAGACAGTTTTGAAGAGCTGCCCTCTCAGAAGGAACTTGGAGCAAGTCGGTTCGGGTCACAGGAAGCACCCCTTCAGAAGTGGCAGGAAGGGGCGGGCTAGAGAGAGTGTCTGTTACAGAAGGTTCAGGATGTCACAGGCAGGGAAGGGGTAGGATGGCTTGGTGGCACTTGGGGCACAAGAAAGTGTGGAGCAGACAAGGCTGGGGTGTCCCAGCTCTCTCTCTGTCTCTGTCTCTGTCTGTCTGTCTCTGTCTCTGTCTGTCTCTCTGTCTCTGTCTCTCCGTCTCTGTCTCTGTCAGTCTGTCTGTCTGTCTCTGTCTCTGTCTGTCTGTCTCTGTCTCTGTCTGTCTGTCTGTCTCTGTCTGTCTCTGTCTGTCTCTGTCTGTCTGTCTCTGTCTGTCTGTCTGTCTCTGTCTCTGTCTGTCTGTCTGTCTCTGTCTCTCTCTCTGTCTCTCTCTGTCTCTGTCTCTCTCTCTGTCTCTCTGTCTCTCTCTCTGTCTCTGTCTCTCTCTCTCTCTTTCTCTCTCTCTCGTCCTCTACACACGCAGGGACGTGCACACACAGCTCACCTTCCATTTCGTTACCTTCTGTCCTTCATGTCCCTCAGAACAAACTGCTCTCAGGGAAAGAACGTGAGCAGCCATGTGCAGGGAGTCCCGGGGCGGCCTCCGTCAATGGTGTTTTATTTTAAGCCTTACTAACAAATCGATACAAATACGGTGTAGAGTGGGATCGGGCGGTGCCCGCGCAGGCTGGACGGGGTCTTTTAGAAGCGCTAACGGGAATCCGCTCCGCACATCTTCCCTCTGCAGCTGAGTCACTGAACGCTGCCCCTGCCCGGAGCCCAGATCCCAGAGGAGTTAGTTTTCCTGGTGTTCTGGGGTCAGGAGCCAACACTTCCTCCACATGTAGCATCTTCTTTCACCACACACACACACAACCATACGGTATGAGAAGCACCTTCCCTGTGGGGTTGGCACCATGCCAAACAGATGTTCTGGGTGTTGGGTGGGAGTCAGAGGCATAGTTCAAGGTGACGACGGAAGATGTCCCAGGCAGGATCCGTGCCCTGAGGTCAAAGGTTAGAGGAACCCAGGCCTTGCCAGGCAGAGGTCACAGTCTATCTGTAAGGAAGACAGATCCACCAGCAGATCTGAGGTCCATGGTGTGGTGGGGGCTCAGGGTGCCTTGTGGGGGCAAGTAACTGTCCGTGCAAGAAGGGGAGGGTTCACTCCAGGAAGTGCTTCAGAGTAGGGTCGGAGAGCAGAGGATGGAGGCACTGGCTGTGGGGGTGAGGGTTAAGGAGAAGTGGGTGATCTGAGATAGACCTGGTTAGGGAAAGAGAGGCCCTGCATACAGGCTAAGGAGCGCAGGCCCTGACTTGCGGCTGGGGACTGCAAGGCCCAGCCTACCTGGGGTTAAAAGCACCAGCTGGGCAGGACCCGAGGGTGTCAGTAGTGGAGCTAGAAGCCATCTGTAAACTCAAGAGCCAGCTGGTACATTTGCCCTGGATGCAGCGGGAGGGAGCCACAGATGGAGCATAAGCACCTGCTGAGTGTTGGAAAGACTAGCTTCCCTGGGGTAGCCCAGAGGAGAGGGATGGACTCGTTTTCTGCATGCTCATGTGCCTGGGATATGGTAAGCATCAAGGAATACTTGTTGAATGAATGCATGGTAGGTGGATGGATAACTGAAGTGTTTCTTAGAAAGCTATGTTGCAGGAGTCACACCCTACCCTGCCCCTGGCTTGATGTCCTTGGGACTTCAGAGGCTGGCACTGAGCTCTGTTCGGGTGGCTCTTGCAGGTCACGGATGGATTTGCCTGGCTCACCGTCGCGACAGGCCTGCTCCTCACAGCCAGCTCAGATGTTGTCAGTGGACACAGGCCATGCTGACAGGCAGGCCAGCGGCCGGATGGACGTGTCAGCCTCTGTGGAGCAGGAGGCCTTGAGCAACGCCTTCCGCTCGGTGCCACTGGCTGAGGAGGAAGACTTTGACAGTAAGGAATGGGTCATTATTGACAAGGAGACGGAGCTGAAGGACTTCCCTCCTGGGGCTGAGCCGAGCACGTCAGGAACCACGGATGAGGAACCCGAGGAGCTGCGGCCTTTGCCTGAGGAGGGTGAGGAAAGGAGACGTCTGGGGACAGAGCCCGCTGTCAGGCCCCGAGGGCGTGGCATGCAGACGCTGGCAGAGGAGGACCTGCGGCAGATGCTGCCCCAGCCTGCACCACCTCAGCTGAGCCAGGCTGATGGCCGATCAGAGACATCACAGCCACCCACGCCTGGCAGCCTTTCCCACTCGCCCCTGCACTCGGGACCCCCGCCCTCGACGGAGAGAGTCGGATCCCACAGGCCCTCAGAGACAGGTAAGACTGGGCTTGTGTATGACTTCCCTATTCTGAGACCCCCAGAGTTCTGCAGGCAGGCCTTGTGTGCCCCATTGTGCCCCCCCTGGCCTAGGAACCTGGCAGTGACAGGGCCATGGTGGAGACAGCCAGGTATGAAGGGTCCACACCACGTGTGGAGACAGACAGGCTTAGGTTGTGGGATAAGTCCTGCACTGTGAGGAGTACAGCGAGGTGACACAGCAGGATAAAGGCCCCCTGGGCCCCAGGGACAGCCTACAAAGGCCTTGTGGTGGCAGGCAGTCTTCAGCACAGTACCATGAGGGTGTGAAGCAAGTCCTGGGGCTGTCACGGAAGCTCTGGTACCACACTGAAGGGATGGGACTGACCCTGAAGGCATGGTAGCCCACTGAAGACTTTTACATAGTATGGCACTATGGTGGCTTTGAGACTTCTGAGCAATCCCTTGGGCTGCTTTGTAGAAATGAATTGAAAGGGTAAAAAGTTAGAAGCAGGAAGGCCACGTGTCCTCAGTGGCAGGAGTACCCTGGTGGCCTCTGTAGACTGTGACATGGGGCAAGGTGGATGGATGGAGAACAGAAAGGCTATGATGGAGGGCAGGTTGGGGGTGACAATATCTTACTAGATGCCCGGGCTTCTGATGGCAACATTGCTGAGTGGCTTTGAGGGTGTGTGTGTGTGTGGATTCAGATTGGGCACAGTGACCTCTTGATAGTTGAAGGATGACCGTGCTGTGTTATCCGTTGCTCAGGAGAGAGATCTCACCTGAACTCACAGGAACCGTGGGAGTGGGTGCTGTCACCCACATGTAGGGTGGGGGGTCCAAGAGCTGGGGCAGGACCTAGGAAATGCTCACATACAGAGGAGCGAGAGAAAAGGGAGTCCTTAATCCTGACCAGAGGAACCAGAATGTGGAAGAAGGAATAGGGAGGGAGGTGAGCAAAATCAGGATGGGATATGACTGACGGCAACCAGGGAAGACTCGGGACAGGAAAGCATGGACAAAGCCCTGGGTTCGATTCCCAATGCCACACAAAACTCCTGTAACTCCAGTACTTGGGAGGTAGGGGCAGGAAGATTGGCAGGTCAAGGTCATCCTAAGCTGCATAGTGAGTTCACAAGAATAGACATGTTGGGAGCCCTGTCTGGCTTCAGTGTCTCCTCCTTCTCTTCTTCTTCCTCCTCCTCCTCCTCCTCTTCCTCTTGGTGTTTTGAGACAGGGTCCCACTGTGTGGCCCGGGCTGGTTTCCAGTCCTTTTGACAGCCTTCAGAGCGTGTGAGGTTACAGGCCCGCACAACTCTACCTGGTTTAGAGGAATAGGCTGAAGAAGCAGGGTGGGAGGGTAAAGGATTTGGAAATGCTGGTCTGAGGATCTGAAGCATGTCTCATGGTGGCAACGGTGGTGTGTGAGTGTGTGTGTCATGTTTCCTGTTAAGGACAACCCTGTTAGAATAGGTTTGCAGCCACTGTTCTGGCCAAGCTTCTCTATATGGCATGCCAACTGACCTCTGACTGAGAAGTGAACATCATCTCTTACACAGTCTCAGGGCCTGAGGCTTGTTCCACTTGGTGGTCTTATGGTGGAGCTTTGTGTGGTGCCTAGGTACAGCCTAGGAACCAGCTCTGCCATGCACTCCGGTTGGGAGGTCTGGCCTGGGATGGCATGGGTGCCTTGGAGAGGGCAGCTCTGGGGAGGAGTGCATTGGGCCTTGTTCATGTCAGGAGAGCCTTTCTAGAAGTGATGCTCTGGTTCAGAGTCTGGAGAATATCTGGCTTTGCCTTGTACTTGGAAATAGTAGTGAGACCCCAGCTGCCTGATGTGGAGGCTTCGCTCTGGCAGTATGCGGGCTGGTATGATCAGGCCATGACCAATGTTCCCACAAATGGCTCTGGGGAAGGTGGGGGCAAACAAGATGTTCTCAGGACTTCTCACTCCCTGTTCTTCCTAATCAGCACCTCCGAACATTTGTTATCTGCCAGGTGGCAGAGATACCAAAGGGACAGGCACAGGGGATGGGCTCCCAGGAAACGCAGAGTTGGGGCAAGGGCATAGACTGTGGTGCTGGAGGGGAGGAAAACACGGATAAAGTCGGCTCTCTTTTCTGTTGTTCCTTCCTGTCCCTGTGGGCTGACTGCTGTCTCCTTCCGGGCCTCAGACCAAGAGAGCCAAGCTTCCTCTCAGGTTGAGCTCTCCTGCGGATACTTTGTACATCCTAGGTGTCATGACCGGGGACAGGCCTATTGTGCAGTCATGGTGTATAACATGGACAGGGAAGTGATTGTGTCTGTGGGGTAAGGGGAGGGGGAGGTGTTTGCCAGCCTCGGTTTCCCCACACTGTACAGAATTGAGGTGGCTTAACATCCTACAATTACGTGTGTGCTTGTCTGAGCCCACTGATCTTGAGTTTACATTGTTTGTGGGTGTGGACGGATGTGCACACATCATTGCATCTGGGAGCTCGTGGGGGAACCAGAGCAGGGAAGACAATGAGGGAAATGACAGAGATGGCAGCCAGCGCGGGACACCGGAAGACGCACTTGCGGACTTCCGTGAACGGTCCTCATAGCAACACTACACGCTGGCAGCCTTGGCTTACAAGTTGGGGAAAGAGCCTCAAAGTAGTAATCTGAAATAAATGAGCAGGCTTTCCGGCTGGAGCCGCTAAATGGTCAAGCCAGGACATGACACCAGGCAGCTGGGTCAGGGTCTCCGCCTGGGAGCCCAGTCTAAGGCGTGCGTGTCAAACATGTAGAGAAGCCAATGCAGGTCAGAGAAGCAGTCAGTCTGCGCAGGGTCACAGTGCCTGGAGCATCTGAATGTGTATGTGTGCACGCACATGCCTGGCACACCAGCTGGCTGGCCTCATTGGCAGATGTGCCCGCAGGCATGTCCATAGTGCCTTTGGGTGCCTACGGGTGAGACAGATGGGACAGGACACGTGCTGTATGTATTTCAGGACATCAGGGTGAGGCAAGCCCTTTGTTCTCCAAGGCACAGGGAGCAAACCAGACTGGCGTGTGCTCACTTGGTTGTGGGGCACGGGGTGCTTTGGGCTAGGCTGGGGCTGCGTGCTTTGTTACACGTTGCAATAAACCTGTGAGGTTCCTCTCCATTCCTGGATGACTAGAAAGAACACCCCCACCCCATCCTCCACCACCTTTCTTCCAGGAATCCCTCCTAGACCTAGTGTGGCAGGCTCTGAGTCTAATGTGTGAACTGTCCCTGCAGAAGTCATTACCACATGAACGCAGTAACCAACAGCTGTGGGAGCGGATGTGGAGCTAGGCGTTGGCTTGTTCCTTGGTGTGCATAGTGTGGATATGGGAATACCTGGCTCCCTCCAGGTGCAAATTGGCAGGAGGCAAGGAGACAGCTCAGCTTGGACAGAGGGAATGCAGAGGGAATGGTTTGGGGTTGACTGTGTCTTGTCTAGATGTCGGAGGCCAATAGCACAGCAGGTTAGCATTCCTTAACCACACAGATGTCTGCTGCAAAGCCACCAAACACTGCCTTGTTAGGAGCTGGGCAGTGTGCTGGGCTTGGGAACAAAGATGAGCAAGGCCTCCTTCTCAGTCCTCAGGGCAGAGCTTGCAGTCCAGAGGAGTGGGCTGGGAGGACGGGCTGGAAGATGGGCACTCACAGTTAGGACCATCAGGAGAAGGAAGAACTTTCATCTGCTCTAGGGACTTATGAGGGAAGCTGGGGTATCCTCACAAAGGTGACTTCACACTGGGTATTGAGGACAAGTGAGTGGTCACAAGTGATGCCTGGCCTGGAGCAGGGAACATGCTGGGATCCAGTTTCAGCTCCTAAGGCCTCTTTGATGGGGAATAAACTCTGACTGGGTGTTGTACTCAAGGCACCCACACGTGCTGTGAGAGGAGCCTCTGGGCGTCTGGGCCCCATCTCACTGTAAACAGAAAATAAGGAGCCCAAACTTGGCCCCCAAAGAAGCTGACGGAGGAAGGAAACTGGTGTGGTGTGGAGCAGATGATGGTGTTCCCCGTCCCCTCCCCGAAGGGGGTCTCTTGTGACCCCCCTTTCTGACACCAGCAATGCACACTGGAGCTGGCTGGCCCCAGTCCCTTCCCGATTTGCCCCTTCATTCCCCTGGAGCTGGCCCAGCCAGTCCTCAGCCGCAGGGAGAGCGAGGCACAAGGCGAGACAAATTCTGCAGACACCGGGCTACCATGTCCATCCCCATATGCTTGGGAAGTGTCCCCTGTGTCCCAGGGGACAGGAGGGCACAAAGAGGGATTCTGAGGGCCACCACTAATTTGTAGCCCCCCCAGCTCAGCAACCCTCTGGGCCTGTCATTCTGAAGAGTGTCTTTGAAGGGCTCCTGAACACACAGTCCCTCACTGCTGTAAGTGTCCCGCATATCTGGTCCTCAAACCCGAGGAGGTGGCACCACTTTTACTCCATTTTACAGGGGAAGAACTTGAGGCACAGAGAACTGAGGTCAAGGGTCACCCTGCAGTAAGTGATAGAGAGTTGGGGTTAAGACATCTTTGGGTTGGTGCGGGGGGGGGGGGGGGGTGATGCCCCGTGCATGTAATGCCAGCGCTTGGAAGGCAGACCCAGGAGGATTGCCAAGAGTCAGAGACCAGCCTGGGCTACGTAGTGAGTTTTAGGCCAGTGTGGGGTACAGAGTGAAACCCTTTCTCAAAACAAAACACCCAAAAAAGCTCTGCTGGTAGAGGGCTTGCCCAGCAAGCACAGGGCCCTGGGCTCCATCCCCCAAACTGCAAAACAAACAAAACACTCTCTTGACTTCTTGCAAATAAGTGTGAGTACTTGGACTCCAGAGTTCATCCACTGTCCCCGAGACTCCTGACATCTCCCATAAGGAGGCTGAGGGTGCCAAGGAGGGGGGAGCTTGATGTTTTAGATCTCATGAGGCAGGATGGGGGTCATAGCTCACTGACAGAGCACTTGCTAGGCAAGCAGGAGACCCCGATTCAAGCTCCAGCACCACAAATACGTTAAAAATGATCT